CTTACTGCTGCTCTACACTGCCTTGGGCAGCCAGAAGACTTTGTTCCCAGGAAAGGGACTCATGTCATCACTACATCTTCTTGCTCTAGCAGTCACGGTCTGAAATTCTCCTCAGATACGCATCCTGCTTACTTGGTTGGCGAGTTACCTGTCTTTGCATCTCATCCTGTCTCCCAGCTCCACTGTGATCTGAAGGGGAGCCTCAGGGAGTAATAATTCTTTATACAGCTTCACCACTTCCCCTGAAGTATTTAGCCCCTTATGAGTGTTAGATGCTTACTTGCTAAATTTTGTCAACTGCTCAGGAAAGGGGCAGATTTCAGGGCAAGGGGCCAGCAGCTGTGTGTCAGGGCTGGCAGTAACTTGGGCTTCTTGATCTGAGGTCCAGGGGCCCCCAAGAAGTCACTGAAGGCTGGGAGCTATGAAGCCCCTGAAATTCTATGCAAAATATTCTGTGTATGGCTTTTTTTTTTTTTTCAAACAGAGGCCTGCATTTTTCCTCAGAAATTACTCAAACCTTGCTCTGACTTTATTTTAAGGTGAGGAAACTGAGGCCCAGAGAAGAAAGGGACTTCCTCAGCTGACTGAGCTTGTGAATAACAGAGTTAGGCCAAACCTTGGGCTCCCAACTCCAGGTACTGTACACTTTCTCCAATACCAATGGCCTCTGTCCAAGATCAGCCACCCCTGGTCACAAGCACAAGTCCAGGACACCTGTGCAGTATGAGAAGGTTGGGGGTCACTAAGCCACATGACCTGTGAGCACGGCCACAGCTCTGTCCTTTGCCCAGGGCCCAAACCTCAACACCCTAGTCTTCTATGATGAGAAGGTGGATCAGTTCAGAGCAGAGGAGCACCTCGCTGGTAACCTCTGACCTCCCCACCATTCCTGGTCTCTTGAACTCCCCTCCTCTAACATTCCCCAACATCTCTCTTGTCTTTCTATATCTTTGTGGTGGTGAGGAGCCATGGTTTCTATGACAATATTCTCACTGGTCTACAGCAAAATGAAAAAAATAAGAACAATGTGGGTTCTCTTGTTGTTATTGTTAAAGATAAACGTATTTAATTTAAAGGACTATTCTATTATTCTGAAATTAGATCCTACTTTTTTGTTGCTAAAAACTGCTTTTATGGCATTGAGTTTCTGTTTATGGTGATGGAAAAATTGGCAATGGATATTGGTAATGGTTGCACTACATGGTTAATGTAATTGATGTCACTAAATTACACATGTGAAAAATGCTAAATTGGCAAATATGTGATGTATATTTTTACAAGAAGAAAAAGAGCTTTTATGAAACAATGGTACTAATACAATAGTAGTTTCATTTGGCTTTTCATGTTCTTACTGGGCCAATAATTTTTCTTCCCTAGTAGTGGTAGAAACTCAACAATGGAGACTCCCTCAGCCTGGGTCCCTGAGCTCAGGTGATATGTATATACTGTATATATATATATAAATTCTGTCAATCCTCAACAATTTTTGGAACCTTTGTCGGTCTATGAAATCCAAAATAAAATTCTGGGGAAAACTGACCTGGTGGAAATTGTCCATGATTCACTTCATTCTGGAAGGAATTCTCAAAGTAATCTGGGGAGAAGATGAACAAGTAGGTGCCCTAGAGAGTTTGAGATGCTAAGATAGATCAGCAAAGCTTCCTAGGGAAGAGGACACTGCAGTGGTAAGTGTTTGGAGGTGAAAAGAGGCGCTGAGGAGGCGGAGGTGCTGAGGTCCTACACAGAATACGCAGGACAGCCCTGGGTCCCAGCAGGAGGGGGCAGTGCTGTTTTGCTAAGAGAGTACAGAGTGAGCAAGGGTTTGGAGGTGAGAATGAGTAGAGTGTGTGGAACAAGAAGCAGGAGAAGCTGTCTGCTTGTGGAGGGATGCAGAGTGGAGACTCAGGGCAGTCAGTGGACATGCTTCATGAGAGTAACCCAAGTTGAGGCGCCTCCTCATGGAACATGGGCCTAATGGTGGCAATGCTGGAGTCCCCAGCCTGGGAGCAAGAGGCATAAAGCGGGGAGGCGCTACCCTGCTGTATCTGTGAGGATAGGAGGGGTCTCCTAAGAGAGAGAGAAGCCCAGCATGCCCAGAGGAAGGTCAACTCATGCCCAATGCCAGTGCTCTGTTTAATGTTGTTCACCAAATATTTCCAGTTCTTACTTGGACACTTGGGAAGATTAATCTTCCCTACCTACCCCCTTTGGCCAATGACATGTGAGCAGAAGTGGTGAGTGTCATTTCTGGTTGGAAATTTTAAGAGCTCGTTATCATTGACACATTCCCTCTTTTTCCCCTAGTAGTTGTAGAAACACAACAATGGAGCCTCCCTCAGCCTGGGTCCCTGAGTGTGGATGACATGGAGCAGACATCTGTACCTCTCCACCAGGGGCAGGGCTTGGAACACACAGCTCTCATCTTGTTTCCTCCCAAAACAGGTTGGCCCTCGTGAGGGGGTGTGTGCTTAGCTGGGGAGGAAGACAGGCCTGGAGAGAGAGGAGGTAACTGACCCGCAGCCTCTTCCAGATCTAGCCAGCCTTTAGACCTGGGACTCCTGCTTAGAGGACAGAAGTGGGCAGTCACACCTGGTGGCCAGATATGCCACCTCATCTTGCCCTTCACCCATGAGAGGGGATTGGGCTTCTACCTGTAGGTTGGTCTATGACAAGGGTCTTCCCAGAGAGGCCAGGAGGACTCCCCACAATCTCTATGCTCAAGTGAAATATTCATGCAGGAGAAAGGTCCTCAGAGAGCATCATGCAGCTCCAAATATAGCAGCGTGGGGTGTTCTGACCTGGTGGTCAGCCCACACTGCCTAAATGTAGGTTGCGTGAGTAGACTCACCGGCATCAGATGACTGAGTCTCTTCTTTCTCCCACTTAGTGAGTCTCTGGGCCACATTAGTATACAGTCACTTTGGCAACATGGGCCTCCTGTCCACCTCAAGGAGCCGTAAGGTAATCATGACTTCTTCAGCGGCATGTAAAAGAAACCCAAGCCAAACTATTTTTAAAAATATAAAACAGAAAAGAACAGTATTGGTCCAGAAACTGGGTAAAGCTGGGCTCAGGGTCCTGACACATACAACAATGGCATTAGGTGTCTCTCTTCTCTGCCTTAGCCTTTGTGGTGGCCTCATTCTCTCCTCCTGCAGATGGACTCTCTCTCTGTGGGCAGTGGGAGTGGGAGGGCAAAGCTGTATAAAGCTCCAACTACCTCCCTTCAGCACCATATGTAAAATCACCAAACCAAACCGATTGCCTTTGAGTGGATTCTGACTCATAGCAACCTTATAGGACAGAGTAGAACTGCCCCATTGTGTTTCCAAGGCTGTAAATCTTTAAAGAAGCAGACTGCCACATCTTCCCCTCCTCCCCGCCCCACCCCCTCCTCCGCAAATGGCTAGTGGTTTGAATTGCCAGATCTTCCCGGTGGGTCAGTAGCTGAGCGACTTAACCACCTCACCACCAGAGCCCCTTATAAGACTCTGATTGGCCCAAGCTGGGCCAATCACTGTGGCTAGGGGGACCAGGGACTGTTATTGGTGGAACTCATAGAACCTGGGAAGAGCAGGTTCCCAAACGTGGGAGGTGGGGTGGGGAATTGCTGGTTCCTGGGGAATGGGAAACGGATGCTGAACAGGCAGAAATACAGATGTTTATAATATCCCGGGAAACCCTGGTGGTGCAGTGGTTAAGAACTACGACTGCTAACCAAAAGGTCAGCAGTTCGAATGCACCAGGCGCTCCTTGGAAACCCTATGGGGCAGTTCTACTCTGTTCTGTAGGGTTGCTATGAGTCCGAATCGACTTGACAGCAACGGGTTAATATCCCAAGTTTCCACATACTTGTAATTGCTCTGCCTAAGACCATACCTGGCTGCAGAGAGGACTCTTCAAGGGTAGTGATGAGCCAGGGACAAGATTCTTTGGCCAGAGGCAATGTCAAAGGAAGTTTCCTTGGAAACTTGTACCTACTGCCTCCTCCCCACAAGAAGCCTTAAGCTACGTTCAGTGGATTTCCCTTTTTTTTTTTTAAACCATAATCCACAGTAAGAGATACAGTCGATGAATAGTCCCTGGGTGGCGCAAATGGTTAAGTGTACCAAAAGGTTGTCAGTTGAAACCCAGCCAGAGGCACCTCGGAAGACAGCCCGGGCAATCTGCTTCTGAAAGGTCACAGCCTTGAAAAACCCTATGGAGCAGTTCTACTCTGCAACGCACAGGATCACCATGAGTCGGAATCGACTTGATTCTAAGGCAATTGTCTTAGTTATCTAGTGCTGGCTATAACAGAAATACCACAAATGGATGCCTTTAACAAACAGAAGTTTATTCTCTCACAGTCTAGTAGGCTAGAAGTCTGAATTCAGGGCTCCAGCTCCAGGGGAAGGCTTTCTCTCTCTGTTGGCTCTGAAGGAAAGTCCTTGTCATCAATCTTCCCCTGGTCTAGGAGCTTCTCAATGCAGGAACCCTGGATCCAAAGGCCACGCTCTGCTCCTGGCACTACTTTCTTGGTGGTATGAGGTCCTCCTGTCTCTCTGCTCACTTCTGTCTTTTATATGTCAAAAGAAATTCACTCAAGATACACCCTAATCTTGTAGGTTAACATACCTGCCTCTAATCCTGCCTCATTGACATCCTAGAGGTTGGATTTACAACACATAGGAAAATCGCATCAGATAACAAAATGGTGGACAATCACACAATACTGGGAATCATGGCCTAGCCAAATTGACACACATTTTGGGGGGACACAATTCAATCCACGACAGCAACTAACAACAACAACTCAGATGACTGGTAGCTTATCGCTGGCATCCATTCCAATTGGTTAGTGTCTGTATCATGCTTCTTGTGAAATATCTTATTATCACCACTGCAAATGTGTGTGTGTGTGTGTGTGTATGTTTGTGTACAACACCAGGAAATAGCAAGAGATTTAATCTCAGTTCATGAGCTTAGATCTCTTTTTTTGCCTTCCTTCCTTTTTCTCACTCTATCGTATGTAACTAGGCCACTGCATCTCAAACAACAATACATGGACTAGTTTAAGAAATCACATTTCTGTTTTTCTAATGCTATTTGTTTGCCCCTTGCTCATCCATTTTGCCATCTGTTACTCATCAGCAGATAAGCTGGAGCAGGTACCAAACATTTAAGGGAAAAAAATGGGAGAAAGTGTCAATTCACTTAATTTATTCCAGCCA